GGGGGCAAAGGCAGGAGCCTCATTAGTCCCCAGGAAGACCCTTGTGCTCCTCCGTGTGGTTCTCTCCTGGCGGGGCTCCCCGGGGGCAGCTGTGCTCACGTAGGCCGCTCCGGCCCCGCTCCCGTTCCAGAGCCCTATTTTCCAGGGCGTGCACCTGCCCCAGAAACTCTGAGCTGTATTCTGGCCCACACGTTGCCAGGGCCTGGGGACGCTCCGGCCCCGCTCCCGTTCCAGAGCCCTATTTTCCAGGGCGTGCACCTGCCCCAGAAACTCTGAGCTGTATTCTGGAGGGCTCTGGGAGAGTTGGGCATGAGTGTCTCCGTGCACGATGCTTTCTGTGCCTCCCGTGTGCAGGTACACGCGTGTAGCTCTGTACAGGCGTGTGGGCACATGCCGCTGCGTTGGCTCTGTGTCTACGTGTGACTATTTCTGCAGCCCCCGACGTTCCGAGGGGAGGAAATGGCCCCTCCCCCTCGCTCCCCGGATGCCCCTGGCCTTCTCGGTCGCTGAGGATCGAAGGCTCCGGCGAGGCTCTTCCTCCCCCTGCCCATTTTGGAAGCACCCCCAGGGAAGTGGTTTCCCCTGGGGCCGCCCTGGGAGGCCGTCGTTCCCTTCCCCCTGAGGCCTGCCCTGGATTTGGGCCTCTTCGCTTCCTGCCCCCAGCCGCTGTGCAGGGGTCACTAGGTGCCGCTGATCAGCCGCTGTTAATGTTAAGTGACTTGCCACAGGTACAACAGCAAGTCGGTGGAAGAGTCAAGGCTAGAACCTGGCACCAGGCCTCTGCTCTAACCACTAGACACCCTCCCTCTCCCTTCCCCCTGAGGCCTGCCCTGGATTTGGGCCTCTTCGCTTCCTGCCCCCAGCCGCTGTGCAGGGGTCACTAGGTGCCGCTGATCAGCCGCTGTTAATGTTAAGTGACTTGCCACAGGTACAACAGCAAGTCGGTGGAAGAGTCAAGGCTAGAACCTGGCACCAGGCCTCTGCTCTAACCACTAGACACCCTCCCTCTTGGCACTGAGGATGGGACCCAGCAATCCACAGTCCCAGCTGCTCTGACTTAGACTAAACCCTGTTTCAGCAACGTGGCTACGTGAGTTCACACCAGGTGGCTCAGCAGCGTTCGTCCGCGGCGGGCTGTGGCCCCTCCCCGGAGACTGGGCAGTCATAGCTCTTGGCCGTGGCTCACT